AGCCACATTCTCTATCTAGCCACCAGAGGGAGCTGCTTCACTCTACAGACAGACACACAGGAAGGAGGGAGCAAGCATCTGATTCATGGGCTCCTCAGTGCTTGATGAATCCACCTGAAGACCCTTTCCTAAATTTTCAATCCTGCCATTTGTTTCATTTCCATTCGTGCAATCCCTTCTACTAGGTTTCAGTTGCTCGATTTTTTATCCTCCATTCTTCTCACTAAGCTCTTATTTTGTTTTCCTGGTTTTGCTGGAGGTTCTTCTAAGCTCCTTTACTGCTTTCATGTTAGTTCCTTGCTGCTCATATTCTTAGTTATCATCATGCTTTTTCTCCATCATTCTACCTTGACTTCCTTTTCGTCTTTTGTCTACCTTCTTCCATTTTCTAATGGGTTGCTAAGTTGGTTGCCCGGGAAAAGAACTGATCCATTTAAACGGAATCCTTCTCCCAAAAAAAGAGAAAAAAAGGCAACCAGAGCCTGCATTTCATTTGCAATATGGGGACCCTTTGAAGATATGTCTTTCTTATAAGCCCCTTTGCCTTCTCCGTGGATCCTGCAGGGACAAAGAAGCAGAAAGGGGGTCTCCTTCACTCAGCCTGCCTGACCTACGACTCTCATTAAGAGAATCTTTTCAAACCAGACACTGCAAAAATGTCTTGTTCGCGCCTCAGTTGCTTGGGGGGAGGTGGAGGGTAGCTATTTGGAGAAGCTGTCTCCATGGCAACACATATTCCCATCAGAAAATGTGCACAGGTCACCTGTTTCTGTGAAAGTTTCTCTCTTGTTTTCTTTTCCTGCCTCTCCAACAGGTGCCAGGGGAGCAGATGCTGTTTGCCACACCAGCCAGGAGATGTGAGAACATCTCTGATTCAGGAGCACTGTCTCGGGAAGGCTGACCTCTCACAATCTCTGAGTCCGAAAGTGTCTGCTCTGGCATGTGTACAGGAACAAAATGGAGCTTTCCCAGTGGTCCATGCTACGGGAGGGAAACAAAGGGCTCTGGTGCAAACCTGGGCGAAATGACAAGTGTAATGGGGCTCGTAAGTGAAAACATCAGCCTCTGGTTGGCATGCATGTCAAATTGCCACACACCTGCAAAAGCAAGATGGATAGGGGAAGGAGGAGTTGCCAGCCAGGACTGAGATGCACTGATAAAACTAGCTTTGCAAGGAAAACCCAACTGCAAGTTGTAGTTGGACAATTCCTGCAAAATGGCTCTCCTCTTCCCCAAGGTACAGAGACATAACTGTCTTTGTAAAAAAAATCAGCTTTCCATCTGTAAAAAGAACCAATACATTTTTACAAAAATGAAATGGCATTTGTGATGCACCATTTCTGCAGTGTCTCACTGGTATATTTGCAAGCAAATCAAGTCTTCAGGCAGATAACACTTTTAGGAGACATTGGATCAAAATCCACCAGTAGACCCATTCTAGGTGCACTAGACTCTTGCAAGAGTCTTGCAAGATTCAAGAAAAATAAATAGAAAGCCTATAAATAGGCAAATGGGCCCTGATTATCATACAAGGAGGCCTTAAGAAGAATGGAAGTATCTTAAAAGAAGAGACAAAACCCAGACTGAGGAGTTCATTCTAGCCACCCCTGAAGATATGACCAATGGAAGTGCGATGGGAGTGCTTAACCACTATCTGGCCACAGGAATGAACTCAATGATGGTCATTAAACTGAACAAGACAGATGTACTGGGCAGTTCATCTCTTCTAGTGAGTGATGTTCTACCTATTATGCAAGGAGTTACACTTGGCTTAAAATACTGAGTTCACAGCTTGAGATTTCTTGTAGGTTCATTTTTGCCATTAGAGGCACAGGAATCCTCTGCGGCACACAGAAATTTTTGCCAACTTTGGCACTATATGGATTGAGATAGCCTGCCTTCAATGATCCATGCCTTCGGGTAACTTCCCACTGTGCTTGCTATAACACATTGTGTGTGGAATATCCTTAAAGATGGTCCAGAAACTTTGGTTAGTATACAATATGGCAGCTGGACTGACTAGTACTGGGAGTTATGATCATGCTATACCAATGCTGCATCATCTTCAGTGGCTCCCAGTTCGTTTCTGAGCCCAGTTCAAAGAGTTATAAAGCCCTTCTTAGTTTGGATCTGATGGAGCACCTTTTCCCATTTTTCTGACCTGAGCTCTGAGATCATGATCAGAGGGCTTGCTCCAAGTGTTCCCACATGCTGAAGTACAGCAGGTGGCTGCTCAGGAACAAATATTTCAGTAATAACTTCCAAGTTATAGAATATGCTCCCCAACGCGATCTGCCTAGTACCTGCTTTGTTATAATACAATACACAATAAATGGGGGAAATGTTCTCTCTTCTTCAGGATTTACTAATGAATATGGTGATGTTATACACATCTGATTAGAGAGCATAAAACTATCAAAGACTAACCGTTTATTTTATCCCATAGCGTGGCTACTTAACATGGGTCTCAATCTGTCTTGCTCTTTGCTATGCCCATGTTGAGCTGTCCCACAAGAACACAGGATTAAAATTTGCAAGAAAATCTTGAATTTCAGGCTCCCAAGGGAGTCATACACACAAAGCAACCACTAATTCAGTGAACATTTGCCAGCAATTCTGTTCTTTCTTGGTTGAAAGACAAGAGTTTATGTTTAGGACAAGTCTCTGTTCTTCATTCAGTCTGAGAAATACAAGCAAGCAGGGATTTCGGATTTATTGTTTTAAACCAGGAAGGCAGCTCTCATTAAAAAGCTACCAGGTGTTCTCAGCACAATCTGTAGCTTCCTTTTTAGCTTTAATGTTTTCACTGCTTCTGTGACAGATGCACTCTCCAGGACCTTTCCTAGGGCATCAAAATATCATCTCTATACCATAAAGCAAGCATACATAAGGTGCTTTTCATCCCCTCCTCTGTACCACCCAAATTAACACCACACAAGGCTTGTACATTTACCATCCGTTAAGGACAAAGAAAGCCAGTGTTCAAAAGTTGTAAATACACCTTCCTATCTCTTGCACCCATGGGCATTGCCTGTCATCAACACTACAGGGGAGCATGCCTATAATGCATTTTTAATGGGTTTTAATATTTGTAAGCCACCAAGAGAGTTTCAGCTATTGGGTGGTATAAAAATATAATAAATGAAAAGAAATTAAATGCCCAGAGGATAACTGAGCTACTAGCACAAGACAACAGCAGGCTTCAACAATATTCTCCAAGTGCCTGGCAATATCTGAGACCTGTGATCCAAGCCAGCCAACCTGACAAACAAAACTATTCAAGGTGCAGACAGCATAGATAAGATAGATTATTGCTTTTAATGGCATTCTGGCCATTCCAATGCAGATCAAGAAGCAATAGCTAATGCTTAGGCAACAGTCCTCAAAAATCACAAAGCAGAATGAAGGCATATTTCAGAGCTTTCCACAAGGTTGGGATTGTGCCCAGGAGTTTTATAAATAAATATGCCAGCTGAATGAACAAAAATATGTGCAACTGAGCACTTCTTCAATGCCATAGGCAAGATGAGCACAGATGAACTTCTACAGTTTTAGATCTAGCTGCAGATCACCAAAAGAATAATTTGGAAGCACCGTAATATTTCTGTTTGTCCATATTTCCCATATTGATCACATAATCAGCTATAACAGACACCTCCAGCTCATTTGATAAGGAAACGGGGTTCACTTACTCAGCAAAATACATACATTAAGCAGAAGTCATAGAGATAAACCAGGAGTTCCTTGCTCATGGTCAACATTAATACATTGGACTCATGATTGTCTCAAGTCTGACTACACCTTTGTCTTTTCTTCAATGCCACATGCATTCCAAGAAACAAATTGCTTGGGGGAGGGAAGCCAGACAAATGTAAAATGAATTGAATTGCAGTGCCTTTTTGCCTTTAAATAATAATTCCCTTCCAAACAGAATAACCTTTTTCCAGCTTATGCTCATTCAGTTATTCCTTCAGATATGAATGGCAAGTTTTTCTCAAGGCAGCTAAAAGCATTTAAAGATTGCAATTGTGATGAAAGAATGTACTCTCACAGGATATTGTGAGATAGTAGCAAATGTTTTAGTGAGGTTCAGTATGATTTTAGCAATGTGTTTTTTAGCATTAAAGTTTGCAATGTGGAATTAATTCAACAGGAAAATAATCAGATGTGCTCAGTTATATAGAGAATGAGATATGAAAACCTCTGTGATGCCCAGAAGTAGATACGCTTTGCCTTGTGATCCACAGCAGATACACTTACACCAGAATATGGGTCTGGTTCTCCCCCACACACATATAGGATAATCTCTTGAGAAAGTCCTATGAGTGCATACAAATTTCAGTCTCATACATATTTAGCAAGAAGAAATAATCGCTAATCCTTCTGGAATACCCTTCTAGGATTTCATCGGCAGAGATGAGAGAAATTTCAAGCAAAATATTACTTTTACTGTTAATAGCAATCACTTCTAAACCAGGTATAGGGCTTTATACTAAGCCTAACTACTAACTTTGCCTCAGTTGATCCCAGGAGATAACTACTGGTTTTGCAATACCAAATGAAAAGGACTCTGTCACTTTATCATCAAATAGGAAGTAATTAAGGGTAAATATACTTAACAGCCAGAAAAAGAAGAAGAATCCAGGTTATGTGACCAAATGAACACATTTTACGTAAAATAAAGGCCCTGTTTGCACATAACAGCAGCAAATTTGCCACAGCATCTTCTGCTACCAGTTTGAATATGAAATCTCCAATCACCCCAAAGCCTGCTCCAGGTGCGTTGTTAAGCAACTTTGGGTTATTTAACCCGCAAGTTTAACCAGCTCCAGTTCACAGGACATGATGCCATCTCCAAGCTGGGTAGCATATTCAAACTGACAGTGGCATGCAACACTGCCATTGTGAGCAAACTGGGTCAATTATTTGCACAAAGCCAAGAAATGACAACTTTAACCATCTGGCTTAAAGATGAAGATCTACTACATAGGATCACTTACTTTGATATATGCATCAAGGCATGTGTGAACACGGTTCACTGCCAAATGGATGGACAGCGGAGTTGTATAGGGGAAGGTTGCCATAACAACATGACTTGAGGCTGGAAAGTTGAAAATTTTGAAACCATACTTCAAGAACATGCGCACCACTTCCTCAGATGGTTTCTCTTCTCCTTCACTGAGGATACTACCCACAGCATAGCGGCATTTCTCTGGATCCACCTAAGGAAACAGATAAGGACTGGCATTAGAAAACAAAAAGTGTCAAAAATTCCATAATTCTGTGTTTGTAAGAATGATTCCTACAATTCAAAGATGCTACAGACAGCTTAAGGTAGTGGTTTTCAGACTAAGCTCAGGAGGATCCTGGAGGTTCCTTTATCAGGTGTTCTTAGATTAGAAGATTAATAATGGTTACCTTTTCCTAGAAAAGTAATTTACCTGTCATTATCAACACCCATATGCAGTCCCAGGTGAGTGCTACGACCTGTTCTACATCGTGCTCTCTGGACCAAACTAGCATGCTAAACTAAATGTGAAACTTGGCTCCATATACTTAATTTTCCTATCTAAAGTAGCATCTGCAAGGGGATCATGATCATGGCACATGAGGAGGAAGAGCATAACCTTTGTCTGCAGTGGTGCCATCCTCCCAGACCATTATCAGTACACATGGCAACTTCCTCCTGAACGTAAGTAGCAGCCAATGGATGGTGAATGGGCTTCTCGTCAAGATCACAATATGAGCATAAAGAATTTTACAAAGTTTCCCCCTTGCTGCAGATCCAATCCCTTCCCACACCCCACAAGCAGTTTCTATTTTAGACAGGCAGTAAGCACCTGAAGACAAATGATGCATTAAATGTACTGTGTAGTTGCTCCTCAGTATATGCAGGCTCACTAAGGCCTGGTTTACTGCAGAACATTCCACCTAATCCTCTGTGACGTTCAAGGATTTTTCAGCAGATGCCTGGAGATTTCAGACACGCAAATCAATGTTAAAGGTCACCCTAAAGGTTGTTGTTTTGAAAGCCACTACCTTAAGGGAAATAAAGAAATACCAAAGCGAGTTTGAGGGCTGCTTCACATATTTTCACCAAGTATCTCTTTCACACTCAAAAAACCCCATATTATGTGGTACATAAAAACATTTGTTCTAACAATATATTGGAGTTGAATCAATGCCACTAGTGGTTGCCACCTGGCCACAGGTCCCAGAAGAACATACTTGTATACACCAGAAAACTCATAGCATCCACAGGCATCCATCTTCTGAAACATTCGCAAGATTCTCCCTTATATTGGCCTCACCTTTTCGGCACCTATTTGGTGGCCTCTTAGTGCCACTGGGGGAAATGGGGGGGGGGGGTTCTTTGCTTTCCTCCTTTCTTCCCTCCATCCCCTTTCCCCCCTCTCCCCCTCTTCTTTTGTGACTGAGAGTGAAGGTTGGATTGGTTTATGGAATGTAGTGGATGGTGGATGTTAGATCAGTGGAGTAAGTATTGCATGACAGGAGGATGGATAAGGTAAAATGAGAAGGATAAGCTGGCATGTGGTTTTGTGCTAATGCGCAGAGTGTAGAGTGTGGAATGCAGTGGAGGCTGAGTAGGGGATTGAAGGTTTCTTTTCTTCCTTTTTCTTTTCCTCTGTCTAGCAGGCAGATAGCTACTTTTATTTACCCAATTGGAACAATTCTTCCTGCGATGGGTGATTGTGTCGGTGCTCTAATCCCAGTGATTTCAGGCAGGGGGAAATATGGCATTGGGGGTTGGACAAGGGGATAGATGCCTTACTGCTATCCCCTCCTCTGGTCCTTCTCATAGCTGGAAGACTCCTAGTGACGATGCCAGTCCACCCTCAGGCCTTGTGGTGCTGTTGCTTAATGCCAGGTGGGTCCACAATAAAACCTCACTGATCCATGCACTAATAGTGGACCTGATAATGTATTAGCAAGATGTGGGTGGACAAGGCTGAAGGAAGTTACTCTGTCCCAGGTCTGTCCACCTGGATACTTGTTGCAGCACCAGCATTGCCTTGATGTCTGTGGGGAAGGGTGACCATTGTTCATCATGATTCCATCTCACTCTCAAGGTTTCCTGTCCATTTCAGTGCAGGCTTCGAGTGTCTTGACCTTGCATTAGGCAATCGTGACAGATTAGGGATCCTGCTGGTGTACCATGTACCCACTGCCCAGCAGTCTCCCTGCTTTTGCTGACAGAGGTAGTTTCCAACCTGGTGTGAGAATCCCCAGAAAGTTAGTCCTGGGGGACCTCAACTTCCATGTGGAGGCTGCCTTATCTGGGACAGCTCAGAACTTCATGCAAGCCATGACAGCCATGGGGCTGTCTCAACACATTATCAGCCCAACACGTATAGGAGGTCATGCTCTAGACCTGATTTACCTGACTGAGCAGGAGGATGGTGTCCTGGAAATTGTGGGGTTAACATCTACCCCTCTGTCATGATCAGATCACTTCCTCCTGAGGTTTGAACTAATGGCTCATTTCTCCCTCTGCAGGGGTGTGGGGCCCAGTTTGTCTGCCCCTGGAAGCTAAAGGACCCAAATGGATTCCAGGCAGCTCTGGGGGATTTTCCAATTGGCATGGTAGGTGCTCCTGAGTGTCACCTCAGGTCACTTCATGGAATATGGGGATGCCCACTGAAACAATTGCCCCCAAATGCCTTCTTCCCTCTCACAGAGCCCGACTAGCTCCTTGGTATACTCCCAAGCTGAGGGCAATGAAGCAAGGGCGACGCTGGCTAGAGCTCAAGTGGAGGAGAACTCAAAACAAGTCTGACGGGACATGGCTTAGTGGCTCATTATCAAGCCTATTCCTTGTTGGATGGAGGAGGAGAATGATGTAAGCTGCCTTGAGCCCTTTGAGGAAAAAGGCAGGATATAAATTGAAAAATAAATAAATAAATAAATGTTGGTGAAGATAGTGAGGAAAAGTGTTATTGCTGCCAGCACTGTGTCCTCATCGGGTCAACCAACAGCACTTTTCTGGGTGGCTCTGTTGCACCTTTTACATCTCAGTCCCAAAGGAGATCTGGTTGAACCTCAGAGGCCTGCTGTGAGGAATTAGTCCAACACTTTGAGGATAAATTGCTCAAATCAATAGTGACTTGGATTCCAGTTATTCGAGCTCCATCAGTGGAGGCATCCAGTGTGCCAACTTGTTCCATTCTACTGGATGGGTTTCAGTTTTTGTGGCCCAATGAAATGGACAGGGTGCCTGGGTCCAGCCTAAACCTGATCACTTGATACTTGCCCTTTGTTTGGTCAGAAAATCTATAGAGAGGGTCTGAGTCTGGGTCCAAGAGGTTGTCAATGCCTCTCTTAGAGAGGGAGTAGTGTGTTCAGTTTTAAAAATTGTGGTCATTGCACCGCTCCTTAAGGAACCTGCTCTGGACCCAGCCAATGTGAGCAACTTCTGACCAATTACCAACATCCCCTTTCTGGGCAAGAAGATGGACTGGGTTACGGTTGGGCAGCTCCAGGCTATCCTGAAGGCAAATGATTGTCTAGATCCATTTCAATAGGGTTTTAGGCTTGATTTTGGAGCAGAAACTTGGTCACCCTGTGGGATGAACTGTGCCAGGAGAGAGATGAGGGAGCACAACCCTGTTGGTTCACCTGGACCTCTCAGCAGCTTTCAATAACATCAACCATGGTATGCTTCTGGAGAAGTTGGCCAGGCTGGAAGTCGAGGGCACCACTTTGCAGAGGTCCTGCTCCTACCTGGCTGACTGTCTCCAGATGGTGGTGCTGGTGAACTGCTGCTCTGCACCATGGCCTTGGTCATGGACTGTTTGTGGGCCAATAGGCTGAAGCTCATTACAGATAAGATGGAGATACTGTTGGTGGGGAATCCATCTGTTCAACCGGGGAGTTTTCAACCTATCCTGGACTGGGTTGCATTCCCCCTAAAGGACAAGGTTCACAACCTTGGCGTACTCCTAGATCCCAAGTTGTCACTTGTTGCTCATAAGGACTCAATCTCCAGGAACGCATTTTAACAGCTTCAGCTGATTTATCAGCTGTCTCTCTACTTGGTTGAGTGGAACCTTCTCACAGTAATCCATGTAATGGTAACTTCCTGCTTGGATTACTCTAATCTGGTCTATGTGGGGCTGCCTTTGAAAACGGTCCGGACCTTGCAACTGGACCAAAATTGGACAGCGTGCCTGTTGACAAGGCCGGGCATTTGTAAGCGCATCATGCCTGTCTTACACAGGCTACACTTGCTGCCAGATGACATCCAGGCCCAGTTCAAAATGCTCACAATAACATGCAAAGCCCTACATGGTTTGGGACCAGGTTAACTGAGGGAACACCTTTCTCCATATGTACCAGCCCATTCACTGCACTCTTTGTCTGAAGTCCTGCTCCACATTACCCCCCATTACAAAGTGAAGGGGGAGACTGCAAGGAAGAGGGCCTTTTCAGGTACAGCATCCTAACTTTGGAATTCGATTCCATTAAAGGTCCACGTTGGCACTACTCTTCTTGTTTTTAGATGCCAACTTAAGATGTTTTTGTTCCATTGTTATTTTAATTGGTAAATTGATTTTTAATAGTGTTTTTAAGATGTTATATTATTAAATGCTGCTGCCTTCATGATTTTAATATAAATCCTAGATATTGAGATTAACTAAAATTTATTTATGTTTTATTTTTGGATCCTTTATATAATATTTTATTTAATTAATTCTTGTCTTATTTAATTTTGGTAGTTATTTATGAGTTTTATTGTTATTGGCTTTATTGTAACTGTGGAGTTTATTATGTTATATACTGTATTGTTTATTATGTTGTAAGCACGGATTTTATGATTATGTAAGCTGACCAGAGTGCCTATGGCTAACAGGGTGGCATATAAATCAAGTAAATACATAAAATAATAAATACATAGTGTGTATCCTACAACTACATGCTAAAGGTAAGTAAAAGCAAACCAGCTGTTTTACTGCTGATGTGGTTCCAAGTAATGTCCAATTAGAACACCAAGCCATGTAATTATAGATAAGGGCATTATTTTTCAGTGCAAATCTATATTGGCTATGTCATGCTAGTGTCACTGAGGCTCCTCTGGTGCTGTGCATGTTACAAAAAGCAGTTTATTTGCTTTCTGGGCTTTGGTTACTTTATTTGGAAATATTCTGTTATATAAAACCAGCTCTTCAACAGCATCACAACATGACAGCAGGCACAAATTTCA